TCTAAATAGTGACATTTCTAGTGATGTTTATATTTAACCAAGTTCTACTAATATTACATACTAATTTACGCCATATTTTGTTTTGTTCCAGAATAATAGAGTAACTGACGTCAACAGTTGTTTCTACATACGGGTGTTATCAATCAATATAATTATTAAACAAATCCAAACTCCTAAGTACCTAATATAACAATGAAAACTCTCATGGTTATTTCATACGTGATTTTCAATCCTTTCTTCAAATTTCATTCCACCCTGTATATATATATATACATAACTATTTTCATACTACACAGTACAACAATCATATATTTGTCACACATATGTATATATCTCTGTCCATCGAACACCAGCATATGTACAACACCTGAATTGTATATGGCATATGCACAAAATTGTACCTACACAGACTGAAAATTAAAATTTTATCTTTTCATAACCAAAAATCATGATACTTATTTCATTTAGTGTCAACCATTTCAAAATCTCTGTCAACACCCTACCTAAAATTCGTCAAACAAGTTACTTATGTCTTATAGTGCTTAACTACTATAATGTCAATTTTATAAATAACGTGTCATATTACACCCACTATGTCATAAATTTCCATATTACGAAAGCTCATATTGACTTATTATAAACAACAAATAAACACCACCACTACTAAATGGAACATAGAACATAACATAACAGGTTAACAATCCAACATAAATAAACAACACACTTATATCAATTAACAACAGTCACAATAATACACTTTGATTTGATTAACTTTCTTCTCCTTCAACAACATTGTCTTTCTCCTTCAACAGGTATCGTGTTTGGACAATCAAATTAAAACCCCCTGCAAAACATTTATAAGAAAACACATATTACTATTGCTATTCTTCCCTATTGTATTCACGTCAAGTAATTGAAAACAATAACCATATTCATAAAATATTATTACCAGCTTTTAAGCTCTACAAATATTCTTCATAACTCACACTTCTTGATGAAGAATTACAATCATTTGTCATCCTCAGTGATTGACTTATATTAATGGCATGTTGACAGGTACGCCGAGTATGACCAACAACTTTACAGCAACCACACCGTGTCACACGCTTGCGTTTCCTTCCAACAACACCACTGCACGTACCCACCGTATTATTTGTTTTTGCAATGGGGTTGTTTGCATCAATTCCACCATTATTAGTGATGATATAATTAGTTGAATCACTCTCTTCATGTCCATACTTTCTTTTCAGACGCTGCATTTCTCTTGTCAGAATTTCTCTAACATTACAAACCTCATGGTAACTTTGACAAGCCAATTGGAACACTGATCTTCCACTCTCACATAATAGTCCAAACCAACTCCTCCGCAGTGACCTTTCATCAGCATTTCTGATCATTTCATTGTCATATTCTTTATAACAATATCTCCATTGCAAGACAGGAACAACATATCTCTGTTTTTGTTGGTTCCAAAGACACATTCCATTGTTTTGGTCTATGACCACACTTCATAACAATATAAGTCGTTGATGAAAAACATTGAATAATGTCAACCACTGTTAAAGATACTGACTTTAATAGTATTTCCCGAAAGACTTTAAAAACATTATTGGTATATACCATTACTGCAAATTTCTCCAACTCAACTGCATGACTTACAGGCACTACATGACCAAAATTTGACTTAAAATTCATTTCTTTTTCATTGTTACGAATGTTATCGACACATTGCTTAAAATTCTCCATAAATTCTCTCAAGTTATTTCTTGACTTAATATACTTACCAATTTGAGAATGTAAACCCTCACATCTTGAGGTTGTCCTTAACCCAGCAAAGAACTTACCCTTAACGTAAATTGTACACCACATCTCTTTCTTATTATATAATTCCTCAACCCATACATTACCTCCCAAATGACACTCCTCAACGGCAGAAGCCCACTTCTGTTCAAACTGTTCAGTGTCCACGTCACCAAGCATGCATTCTTTAAACAATTTACTAAACCTTTCATTGTGAACATTGTATGTCACATTCCTCATTAAATGTCACCCACACAATCGATGATGAGCAGATGGGAAAACTTTCCTGATCGCATTCCTCATTGATATATCACCATCAGTAATAACACAATTAGGACACTTACCCTTCATTGCTGTTATAGACTGTTGAAGGACCCATACATAAGTATCTTCCTTTTCATCAGACACAACTGCACACCCAAATATACACGTCTGTTTATGATGATTCACACCAGAAAAAAACTACAACAGAACATTTGTATTTATTCCTCCCATAAGTAGCATTAAAGGCAACAACATCTCCAAAAATGTCATAATCAATTTGACTCATACCATCACACCAGAATATATGCAACAACCTCCCATTACAATCAACCTTGTGATCCCAATACAGCTTGGGATCCTTTAAGCGCAACCTTATTAAGAATTTTTCTGCCTCCTTAACATCCCCATCCTGTCTTCTTCTATCTTTCTCAATCTGATTATACATATCTTTTTTTGCAAAAGCCAACCATGTCATAACTTCCTCTTTGACTAACAAATGAGTCATATATTTTGCAAGTTGGAATACCATTTTTCCTCATTCGACGCATCTGTTCAACATCACCATCATCCATTTTGCGATGTGACCTTAACATTCCAAAATAATTCTCATCAACTAAATTATGATTATGATCATCAAAGAATCGACAAACTACCCAACACCCTCTATATACATCTAAACGTATCTTTATCTCTGCCTCACAGCTAAACCTAGTAATTGCTCTGTGCTCCCAAAGTCGATTGGGGTTACATCTGTAAATTTCTCGTCAAAAACCTTGGCTTGAACAAATAAATTGCTGCCACACAACATCCCTATTCTTATTTTTACCCCGTTTATTTTTCCTCACACTAAACCCATTAATTTTTCCATATTCATTATAAAATTTATAACCTTCCTCAACACTCAAAAATTCCACTCTCTTAATCTCAGTGCTACATAAATCACTCAAATAGACGTATCCATCCTTCTACATATCGACTTCATCTGAACTTCCCATTTCCTCATCCACATTGCATTCCTCAACAACAACCTGTAACATATATAAATAATACACATGTTACTTTGATTATAACAACTATGGTTATTCACTCAAATACACATAGCCTACACAAACCTCGTTGTTTCCTTCATCATTTCGAGGGAAATCCATGTTAAATTGATTTATATAATGAGTATTTTTTGCTTTCTACACTCCTTCCGTCGTCCTATTCTCCTTTATCTTTGCACTGCAAATTCGTTTTTCCCTTCTTCTCTAACTAAGTATTTCACCTCTTCATATGAAAAACCCTACCACTCTGCCACCTCTCTCACCAAGGCTTTGTTTAGGCTAATACAATTTCTTCCTATGATTCAACATTGGAATTCACCATTTTGCCCAATAGCTCTACCAAGACTTTCGTTTTTCTGTTGGTCACTAATGTAAAAAAACTTATAAATATGGCTAGTACAACTGTCACACATTTGCATCGGTTGTGTGATAAAACCAATGTCATTAGGCGACCACCTATTACATTTGCACATGGACCTGATTTTGAATCGGTTGTCTGGCATAACAGATGTCATTACCCAACCACCTTCTACGTTGTCTACATTTGCATCAGTTGTGTAGTCAAAATGATGTCATTATGCGGCCACCTTTAACATATTGTGCATGCCCTCTTTTTGCATCGGTTGTGTGCTACAACTGATGTCATTTCACAAGCACCTTTTACATATTGCACATGCACTCTATTTGCATCGGTTCTGTGTTAAAACTGATGTCATTTCACTACAACCTTTTTCACATTGCGCATCTACTGTATTTAGATTAATTAGGTTCTAAGGTAATGTCTCCCTTTTACAATTACTTCGTTACTATCTCATGTTAACCATATCTACATCGGGTGTATGAGATGTATGATGTTAATAAAATTTCATGTACATAACTTGTTACATTTACATTACTAACCCTCTTCATCTTGCTCATTAATAATTCATATCCGCATTTGTTTACCTTTTCAATATTTAATCTTAGTCATCCAATTTTAAACTGCCACGATCAACGGCTCACTTTCAATTATTAATCACTTATGCAAAAATAATACTTTAAAAAAAAATACTTTTTATAAAAAAAAAAAAGATATTAAAATTACCCATATTATTAGAACTTAAATAACTTTCATAGCTGTTTAATTCAACTGCATTAATAATTTGTACTTTTACAACAGGTTACGAAAGTCAAGACGGCTACTTCTACCGATGACTATTTTATACTGTTATTTTAACTCCGAAAATTTTCTATTTGATGGTGACATATATGTGTGTATGCTTCATGTTTTCTATTAGCTGATAATCTGCTGTGATTTTCCAATACAGAGACGCGAGGACATACTATTTATTTTATATTTTCAACTATTCTTTATAATCTAGGAAGATTTCTAAAAAAAAATAGTATAAAAAATTTAAAAGAATAAATTATTTTTAACATGAGAGAAAATTTTGTTATTTTATATTAATTATTTTCTTATAAATTTTTATAGAAATTTACCCAAATATTTGTAGCTGTTAGCAAAGATAATTCTAAAAAGTTCCGCAATTTATTTATTTTGAAAAAAGAGTAAGTCAATTTGAATGTACATTAATTTGGTAAATTTGAAAGGGAATTACGCCATTTAAGTAAAAAAAAAAGGCAAACGTGGTCCCATGTTACTTTATAAGACAAAGATAGACCAAGAGCACAAGCTTTAACCTAGCTAAGGACTTGAACAAATCAAACTCGATCCTGTTCAGTGACCCCAGTCCGTTGAAATTGAGACAAGTGCTAGGGTACATCTCTTGGATGTACACACAGATTCCCCGATCCCAAGCCTTTTATTTGGTGGTGGTAGAAGCATATATATTTATTACGAGCATAGCAATCAGCGAAGAAGAAGGAAGAAAGAAAAACACAAACAATGGTTCAAGGGCAAAACACAACCCTGTAGTTGGTTCCACCGGGGCATGTAAACGTGCTGGATGCATCGTCCTTAGGATAACTATAAGCATCTCGACACCTGTCCTTGAAGAACTTGGAATAATCGGTGGGTCCACAACTACCAGAATTGCAACAATATTCATCAGTCTTGAAAACCGTGCAGGGGTTGTTACAACCGCCATCCGCCTTGAGCACGCTTGGGCACTGACCGTTGATGTCAGCAGTGCAACTAATCGCGCGGGTGCACCCATTCGAAGTTGGACTGAACTCCATCGGAACATTGAAACCGTCCACAAGCGAAATGTCGTAGAAGTCGAGGTTGTTATATTGGTTTAAAGCGAACTCCGCGAGCGTGTTTGGTGGTGTGCCATATGCTGTGCATTGGAGAGCGCCGCCACAATCCCCCGTTTGGCAATGTCCACGCCCTGACCCGTCGAAATTGCAGTTCGTTCGAGCCCAGATGCGTGCTCCGGCCGTGCCTGCCGCCACGTTAATTCCCCAGCTTTCGCCGGGGTTTAGTTGTTTGCCGCCGCCGGTGGGCACGGCCGCAGCCCACACCGTGTAGGTGCATTTGTTTGTGATGTCGAATGTGGCTGCATGGCTCAAGCCTGTCATGCAACTTACAGCGATGAGGAGGAAGATAGAGAATTTTTTCATGATGGAACAATTTCAATTGATGAATAAAATTGGCTTAGGTAGTTAGTTAGTTGAAGAAAGTGGCACTGAGAGCTGAGATTATATATAGTTATATGGTGGGTGTGGATTATACGTTGTTGAAATGTCTTGGGTTTGGAAAATTCTCCTGATGAGGTCACGTTCTTGATGATGCATGCACATGAAGACTAGAAAATTGTTTGCAAACTAAAATAAAATAACGGAATTCTCGGAAATGCGCAGGTTTAAGCTTATTAAAATAATGTCACGACATTCAAACGTGGTTTTGGCCATGATTGTTGCAAGCTATTGGCTAAGAGTTAAATTTTTCTACCTTCTGGAAAAATTAAGCGTCTACTTCATTATAATAATTAACTCTCCGTGTTCATCGTTATCTTATTGGATAAATGTATATGCGTCGACCTTCACAAGAGAAGAAAAATCAACCAAGTGCACATTGCGTCGTTATTAATCCACTATATGCGGAAATACACAGATGTTTGTCTAAGGACCGACATTGACAACCTTAGCGAGCAAGTTTCAACACGTATGAGGTAATGGTTCAGAATAAAATAACACAAATTAAGCAATCTTTCTATACATGATAGAAATAGATAGATATAATTATTCAACCGAGGCTATACGAAGCGTGTGCAGCTTACATAAGTAACACGGAAAATAGTACTAGCATTCTACAGCATCAATAATGTTGAGTTTATATATTTCATCAAAGTATATATCTTCGCCCAAAAAAAGTATATATCTTCAATTTATTGTTTATTGACACCAATCTAATAATAATCAGGTCTGCCGTAAATATAAGCAAGCAATCGAATCGTATATATTATATTTTAGGATTACTTGAATGTGGCTTCCCATTTCGGTTGAATAATTCAGATTCCTCTTATTAATTCTCCTATTTATTAATTAAAGAAGATCATAAATATGAAGAAAAACAAAAGGAGGATCTTATATAAAAATATATATTCATTCGGATTGAAGTAGTTAATAAAAAAATAATTTTATCAATAGCAATCATAAGTAAAGTTAAGGTTAAAGAAATAAAAAAACGTTTTTTTTTTCTAAAAAATAATAGTTCCCTATTATTTTTGTGAATTTAAAAGTAGATATAAACAAAACCATCAAAAATATCAGCCATATTTGAACTTAGCATAGAGGTGAGGGCTGAAAAAAATAATATTTGATAAATATAGACACGTTCTTCTATCGTGGAGAAAATCAACAGAAATTCTTGATAATTAGGACTTTGAAATTTGTTCATCCTAACTCTTCTAGAATTGGTGAGTGCTACCTGTAAGTTTCATTAGGTAGGAACTGACTGCATCACTTGGTCAATTTTCGTTGCCGTGAAAACAAATTATTATTATTATTATTGGTCAAGTGACAACAAAATATTAGAAAATTTTAATTTTTGTTCCCATTTTTTTATATTTTTGGTTCACAATTTTCTTATCCTTTTAGGAGGCAACAATGGGGGAAGGCCTAGGGAACCATTATTTTATTTTATTTTATTTTTAGTATATTTGTCACTAGGCCAAAGTGAATTGGGCTTTGTAAAAAGAGGCCCATGATCCCGATGCTTTGATTATCCAAATCCCTGGATTAACTGATTATCACTTAACTTGTATTTTATGATATTCTTTATTTTAAAAAGCAGAGCATTCAAGTCACCAATTTACCCCTTTCGATATACACTTCCAAAATATCTAGCTTTCAGGAGATACACTTCACTTCAGGATTATTTCACAGTTTCTTTTAGATGTTCAGACTGTGACTCACTCACATTTAAATCTTATAAACATAACACTTCTTTACGTTATTTGGTACAAACTATTTTAGAGCATTTGGTTGATAGGTGAATCTAAAAGAGAAAAATAAGTTTGACTAATGAGTAATTTAAGATGACTATTTGACAAGCATTTAACATATCACATTAAATAAATTCATTTATTCAGAAATATATATTATTGTTTTTTTATTACGATAAATAATTTTTTTTACACCCAAGAACTGAGCAAATGTTCAATAATGTCAACTCGCTAGCTGTCTTGATATCTTCCATCCGTAACTTTACATTGTACCCAACATAAAAAAAAAAAAAACACGGTGAATTATAGGAAAAACACAAGCTTGAACTCATATCTGTTTCTAAATACGAGTATATTAAAAAAAATTACAATTCCTGTATATTCCATTGGAGTCCACCGCTTGTAGAAATCTGAATCTGAATCTGAAACTCTGAGCATATAGACAACTGTAGTTGCTCATCTAAGTTGTTTTACACGGCTGGGTGAGACTTGCGTTCACGGAACAATATCCAAGGACCTTCAATGCACCCATTGTACAGTTCAGCCATATTTTGTGATGACGATATTGACAAAGAGAATGCATATCCTTTTATTGATGTTTAGTGTGTAAATAATAATGTATATACATATTCGCATCGCATTTTAGCATCTTTATTACGTGATCGAGCACGTGTTTTCATATCCAAATGAATCTCTTGCGTGTCATCAATTGCTCAACACTTCACCCTCTGTGTCTGTGCTACTATTCGTTCTGTGTTTGTTTGTTCCAGACGGGCAGAATAACCCTATATATAACTCAATTCATAAATTATTTTGCAAAATCGGGTAATTAAGAATCATGCACCTGCATATACATTATATTGTTATTATGAAATTTTATAAATTTTTTAAATATAAATAAATTATTAATTTGATATGAGAACAAATATACTTATATCGTTTAGGTTACATTTTTTTTCGCACAAATAGTTTTATCTCAGAATTAGTTATTGAATTAAATTTTTTTATCATTTTAAATATATATGTAAATTTTTATATTAATTTAAAATGTTGTATATCCATTTCATATACTTTAAAATTAATACACTATATGTTTAATTTTAAAAGAAATATTCACTTTAACAGATTAATGATTGACTTGATGAATATAATATTTTATATAAAGTTATTAATGGTGTAAACAAAAATATAATTTATAGATATATAAATTATTCACTTTCATTTAATATAATATTTTAAAATGTAAATTTATAAAAAAATTAAAAAATAAGTAAACGAAGATTGACTAAATTAATTTAAAATTATATTCTAAAAAATTAGAAATTAATTTTAGAAAAAAAAAGAGAAGATTTTTTTAATTGTAACCTTTATTTAAAAAATTAAACTTTTTTTATTCACTTAATATATGATTAAAAGATAATTTTTGAATATATTTATCAATAATTAAATTTCTTTATTAATATCAAAGATAACGAGCTTTTATAAATTAATATTAAAATAAATTTTATTTATTTATTGAAATATTTAATTTAGTAAATGTTTTTAAAGTTTGATTTTAATCTATCTATCAATATATAATTAAATATTACATTTTAATAAAAAATAATCTTTTATTTGTTTATACATGTTTTAGACACATAAAAAACATAAATTTTGTGGAATTACACATATGATAAGTTAATGCGACATTGTGACTGGCATGTGCATTAAAAGAATTCATGTGGTTGTGACCTAATTCTATCGCTATGTCACCCCATAACCGGTGTCATCTTCCTGCACCTCACTGTTGCGAGTCACCTCAACGCAACTATTTAGCTATGAAGACAATTCCCTCCCCACAACCTCTATCAACCAAAACATCAATCACAGTCACGAATCAAAACTGCCATCAACCACCATTGCCACTACTTAGCTCCATCGTAGTCGCCACAAAGCTCTACCCTACGTATTGGCCCGTGTTGCAATGGATAAGAGGGGCGATCAGTTTCTAAGTACAGAAAAACAATAGCATACTATAACTGTTCTTTTTTTTTTTTAAGTAAAAAAATTACATCAACTAAAAATTTAATCATTTTATTCAATTTAATTGTAACTTTTTAAAAAGTTATCTTTACTTTTTCTTTTCTTTTTTTTATATTTAGACTTGTCTTACATGAGTGGAAAAAAAATATTTATTATCGTCGTTAACTTCTAAATAAACAGATAAATCAAAATTTATTATTTTATTTAACAAACAAGTAGGTACATAACAAATATGATACGATGTTTTGTTTGTCTGTTACATTATTATCACTCAACAAAACATCATATATTTTAACTCAAATTCAATTTAATTAAGATTTAATAATATACAAGATGAAACGGGATATTATAGTAATAAAATTATAAAATTTTTAAAAATAAAATAAAATAAAAATATATTTATAGTATATATGTTAAAATAAATAATATAAACATATTATTACGTTAAACTTGCCTACTAAATATAATATAAATATAAAAAAATTTATATTATTAATCAATTAAATAAATTAAAAACAAATTTTAAATGGTTTTTAAAATTAGTTATATTTAATTATATAGATTCTTAATTAGATGATGATGTGTAAAAAATTTTATGTATTTTCATTAAATTGATATGATATCATGCCATATAAAATATTATTCACTGAGTATACAATTATTAATAGTAAATATTAATTAAAAATATGATTTTAAAAGAATAAAAGATATTAAATGTAGTTAAGAAAATATAAAATATAATACAATTTCTTTCTTAAAATGTGTTAAATTTAATATTGTATTAAGATAGACTATTAACTGCCTGCTGGGCGATCACGCGCATGAGGTGGGTTTGCGTGGCGAACCAATCCAGAAAGGAAGAGACCAACGCGGGACCCACACGGAAAACAAACAGAATAAGAAATAAATAATTAATTGTTAACGAAAATAGTAAAAGAGAAAGGCGCGCGCCAAAGTAACAAACCAAACGGATTAGAAAGAGAAAGAAACTAAACATCCCCCATACCAATGCTTATCCCAAATCCCATTCCATTATCTCTCTCACTGCTCCTTAAATTCTCGGCGCCGCTCTTATCTCCCTCGTCTCGTCTCGTCTCGCATTCGGAAACTCTATCGCCTTCTTCTCCAAAATGGTGTCCCCTTCCCAAAAGATTCTGGTGACCGGTGGTGCCGGTTTCATAGGCACTCACACCGTCGTTCAGCTTCTCAAAGGTGGCTTCACTGTTTCTATCATTGACAATTTAGACAACTCCGTCACGGAAGCCGTTGACCGGGTACGCGAAGTGGTGGGTCCTCAGCTTTCTCAAAACCTCGAATTCACCAAGGTCTGTTCCTACTTCACTCTACTTACTTCGTTGTTAATTTACCTTATTGCAAATTGAACCCTAGTTTCAACCTTTGTTCTCGCAGGGCGATCTCAGGAATAAGGATGACTTGGAGAAACTCTTCTCCAAAACTAAGTACGGTTAATATTTCGTTCTTTTCATTTTTTTTTCTTAGGCTGCGGTTAATAATTACGTGCTTAAGTTTTTTTTCTTATGGAATAGATTTGATGCGGTGATTCACTTCGCTGGTTTGAAAGCTGTTGGGGAAAGTGTTGCGAAGCCTCGCCGCTATTTTGATTTTAATTTGGTCGGCACTATCAATCTCTATGAAGTTATGGCAAAGTATAATTGTAAAAAGGTTCGCCCTGTCATGCCCTAATTTTGACTATGCTATCATTTTTTGAATTGACTTCAACATTGGAGGAGGATTGTCCATAAATGTGTAGAATAATGAAAATAACAGGTCCATAGTTTATATATTCCTCTTTTCCTTTCATTGCTGTTCTTAATTAAGAGAATATTTTATACTTAAAACAATGTTTCCAAACAAGGAAACTCTTGGACTATTACCTTATTCTTTAATATTGGTTCCCATAAAATCAACCATTTAAAAATACTATCTTGTCATTTATTTTTTACCTCATACAGGCAAAATGGTTCCATTTGCCATGTAACTAAAATAAGGAATAATGTCTCATTACATGCGTTACTTTTTATTTTCCTTTCTGCTTATAGTATCTTGAAATTATATACTATAATGTAAACTTAAATGGTATAAGTTTCTTTATTTTTATTCTTAGATATAAATAGAATATTACTTAACACGTGGTCATTTATAGATGGTTTTCTCATCATCCGCAACTGTTTATGGCCAACCTGAGAAGATACCATGTGTGGAGGATTTCAAGTTACAAGCCATGAATCCCTATGGACGCACCAAGGTAGTCATGAATTTTTTCTGCATTAGTTTTTTACTCTCTTACCCCTTGTTGGGAGCTTGTATTTTCTAATTCAGTTGTAATTTATATGTATCACTGTATTGGGCATTGTATAAACCTACTGAGTTGTAATTTTAAACTTGTAATGCCTGGTTTTGGGTTCTAATAGCTTCTCTCTGCATTGATTCATTGAAGCTTTTCCTCGAAGAAATTGCCCGAGATATTCAGAAAGCTGAGCCGGAATGGAGGATCATCTTACTGAGATACTTCAATCCGGTTGGGGCTCATGAAAGTGGTAAAATTGGTGAAGATCCCAAGGGCATCCCAAATAACCTCATGCCTTACATACAGCAAGTAGCTGTTGGAAGATTGCCTGAACTCAATGTATATGGTTATGATTATCCTACAAAGGATGGCTCCGCGGTTCGTAAAACTTACATATATTTTGCAATTTAATTTTTCTTTTTTTTTTTACATCATACGCTCCTACAGGATATTTGGGGAAAATGTGACAATTGCACAAAGACAAGTAAATAACACAGCATAGACATATTTGTTAACCCTGCAAAAATGCTAATACTCCTTTGTTTTTTCCTTATTAAAATAAGGTCCGGGATTACATCCATGTGATGGACTTAGCAGATGGTCATATTGCTGCCCTGCGAAAGCTTTTCACAGCAGAGGACATTGGTGAATGAATTCTTCTTTTTCTTCTATATATCTACATGGATAGTTTTTTCCCCACTTCATTGATTGATTTTTTACTCTGCATGCTTACCTGGTGGGATAAGGCTTTCGTTGTTGATTGTTTTTCTCTGTATGCTGAAGTAAAATGGGATATATTGTTCTTCAGGTTGTACTGCTTACAACCTTGGAACTGGTCGTGGAACATCTGTACTTGAAATGGTTGCCGCATTTGAAAAGGCTTCTGGCAAGGTAATGTGTCTTTCTGATATACACGGAAACAGATGAAGTTGTGGAACGGTGTATTGATGTGTGAATGTGAACTTCTATACCAATGTAGATGACTCCATTTTTGTATTTACTCAAACGAATAAAATAATAACGTTGGAAGGATTTTCTTTTGTCCTTTGGATATTAAATCTTCAGAAAATCCCAGTAAAATTGTGTCCAAGAAGATCGGGAGATGCTACGGAGGTTTATGCATCTACAGAGAAAGCTGAGAAAGAGCTTGGTTGGAAGTAAGTGCTTGATTTTATTCCTTTGTACGTGACAAATCATTTTGGTTTCTAGCAAAACAGATTTGTTGAGCGGAAAATCAAGATTCCCAAATCTGAAATATTAGCATACTATGCTTCGTTGAACTTGTATATCGAACAAAAGCACAGATGTACGGATTGTAGCTTGTATTTTACGCTCTTGTTTTGTTATTACTAATTTGTCTCATCTCTTCAGGGCAAAATATGGCGTGGAGGAGATGTGCAGGGACCAATGGAACTGGGCAAAGAACAATCCTTGGGGTTACACGGGGAAGCCTTGAATTAACCTGAGAAATATAATGCTCGGCTACAAATGTTTCAACAGAAATAGGCTTCTCTTTGTAGAAATACTTTTCTGCCGGGGTGGTTTGTTTAGGCACTTAATTGTATAATCTTGAGAATAAAAATTTGGCAGCTTTTCAATAAGTAAAAGCTATATATTTAAACTATATTTTTAAATTGGACTAGCCGTCGATTTGATATTGGGAGAAGCTTATCCATTTCAGCCATCTGTTTTAAAAGGAAGGAAGTAAGGATGCTGAAATTGAATTTAAACTGTACTAAATTGTTAATTCCATAAAAAATATATATAAATGATTAAATTGTGCATTGAAAGTAGTGAATAATTTTTTTATTAAGTTCGGAAAAGTTTGTGTTTTTCATTTTTTGAACTGAATTAAATTATATTCTTTCATATTGATAATACTTGTTTTTCGGTTGAGGCACTTAACTCTTGTGACTTTTAACACAAATTTTATTTTGTTTTCAAATAAACCAACCAAAGTTTCAAAGATCGAAACTAGGCTTGAGTTATAGTGTTGGAACCTCAGTTTAATTGTACAGGTATTTAAAAAATTAAATAATCAAGTCATAATTAAAACTTAACAGCATATACATAGCAAGCTAAATAACTTAATATTTAAAAATAAACTAAAAATTGTCAATAACTTATAAATTAACATAACATAAAAATTAAACAAAAAGTTACAAAATTAAAATTAACATAACAGTTATCATGGAACCTTGACTTTAAAAAAGTCATTCACTATTTTACACAAATAAAAACAGTTTATAAGATAACAAATAGCTGAATTTGTCTTAAATTTTAACTATCATAATTCGCAGAAAAAAAATTTGGTACATTAGCGTTATTAGTGTTGTTTATCAATTAAATTTAAAGTTTTACTTTAATAATCTATGATAAAATTAAATATAAATATTTTTATAATAAAATTATAATTTTAATTGATAAATAATATTAAGACAATATTTAAAAAAATTTCTAAGTTTTAAAGTACAATTTTATACTATTGAAATATTATTTTGATCCCTTAAAATAACGAGTTATGTAATATAGTTTAAGAAGGAAAAAATTACAATATCCGATTTTGGTCATTTAGAACAATAATTTAAATGCTCTAATGTGTTTGCATTTTTTTTGTGTGTGAAATTTTGAAAGGAAGGAATAGTATTCCATTTTAAGAAAAAAAAAACTCCCTTAAAGAAATGAGTGAGAGCTCAAATAGAGATATAAAAGTTTGATGTGCGATGAACCACCATTAAATGGGTCAGATTGGTTTAACCTATAGATTTAAAGGGCCAAAAAAATGATTGTTTGTGTCTGTATACCAACCTATTTAACTGCAAATATATACATGTGTGTGTATTATCAATAACATAATTCTATATTTTTGTTGGTCTTCACTCTCTTTAACTTCAAATCGCCAAGTTTGAGTCCAAATCCTCAAATTTGTGATCTAATATGTAACCTATTAAATGTGAGACTGTATTTTATTTCACCTTATTAATTTTTAGATGAAACGTATTAACACACGCATACAGAAAAGTTATTTAAATATAAAATTAATAAATTGTAAATGCTGAAATATGGCTTTTTCTGCACATCTACAAGAATATGGCATAACATAAAATGTCAAAAGCAATTTTGAGTGAATAGTTGCATGGTAGGACTTAGGGCAGAACTGCAGGGTGCCTGAAACGTAACAAAAAACGTCAAAGGCGATTTTCATATGAATAGTTGCATGGCAGGGATCGGAGCAAAACTCCAGGGTGCCTGAATCGTAACAAAAAAAAATGTCAAATGCGATTTTACGTGAATAATTCATGCAGGAGTTTAGAGTATAAGCTAAAATCGTCAAAGGTGATTTGAGCTTGATCAAAAGCATTGTATCGTCAAATCGATGCAGGTGGGTGCAGGAGGTGCAGGGGTCAGTAAACTCGCTATTGGCGATTTTAAATGTTGTCATGCTGGGAACCTAACTCTGTAAAGTCGACATTGGCGATTTTGAACATCTTAAAACGCTAATGGCAATTTTAGGCTTTATATATTTGCTGCATGCGAGAAAAGGGACGAGACAAAGTTGAAGAAGAAGAAAAAGTGAGATTTTGGAGAAATAGAGAGAAGTTGAAAAATTATAATTGCAAAAAAAATAGTTAAAGATACAACCGTTGATTCAAGGAAATATATTTCGGAATAAATTCAAATTTTAAATGTAAGTTTTTCTATGTTATTTAATATATTTTTATGTGTATTTTAATTATGGTTTAATTTTTAATAAATAAAATATAACATTAGTAATATATAGTAGTTAGTTTTTTTTTATAAGTAAAAAGTTAATCTGGATTTTTTATAATAATTTATATTATAGTAATTAAAATTAAAAAAATGCTGAATTTGTGTTGGAAAAAAGCTAAAATCAAAAGCTCGTAAGTTTTATTTTGAAATATGTTATCATTAATTTATCATGTTAATTTAAAATTGATTTATATGATGTGAAGCACATTGTAATTTTGTTGTACATATTTTTATCAATTATATTATTATAATGAAATTTGATTTTATAATTTTTTAAATATTTATTAGGATTTATGTAATATAGATAATTGTTTTAGTAATAATGATATTTTTTAATTATTTATAACACGTAATGAGAATGTTACGCTCTCGTCACTTGTCAATAACGCCTTTAAGGATTGAAATTATGAAAATTTTATGACATGGTGGATTTAATCGAATTTCTCAACTTTGTGAAATGCAAATAAATGGTTCACTAATAAATGCACTGGTAAAATATTGGAGGTCTGAAACACACTCATTTCACTTAGTATGTGAAAAATGCACAATTACATTGGAAAATGTGTACATGTTACTTGGACTTAAGATCAGCGGTGTAGCAGTGATTGGTTCTACAAATCCTTCTACTGTTATTATATAGGATATGTGTGAAAATTTAATAGGAGACCGACCTAATTCAAATGACATTAACGAATCAGAAATTAAATTAAAGTGGCTATCCCAACACCTTGGTTTGCTTCCTTGTAATTCCAACATTAGGTTACAACAACATGCTCGTGGATATATTCTTTACTTGTTAGGACATCTTCTAATGCTAAATAAATGTAATTCAGTGGTACATGCAAAATTATTACAATTGTTAACAAATGTGAATGAAATTGGCAATTACAGTTAGGGATTAGCATGTTTGGCCTTTATTTATAGAGTCTTAGATCGAGTTTCTAGACAGTTATTGGCCTTTCTTTATAAATGTTGAAGTATGGCTTTTTCTGCACATCTACAAGAATATGGCATAACTAAAAACGCCAAAGGCAATTTTGAGTGAATAGTTGCATGGCAGGAGTCAGGGCAGAATTGCATGGTGCTTGAAACGTAACAAAAAACGCCAAAGGTGATTTTGATATGAATAGTTGCATGACAGGGATCAGAGCAAAACTGCAGGGTGCCTGAATCGTAACAAAAAAAATGCCAAATGCGATTTTACGTGAATAATTCATGCATGAGTTTAGAGCAGAAGCTAAAATCGCCAAAGTCAAAAGCATTGTATCGTCAAATTGATGCAAGTGGGTACATGAGGTGCAGGGGTCAGTAAACTCGTCGTTGGCGATTTTAAATGTTGTCATGCTGGGAATCTGACTCTGTAAAGTTGACCTTGGTGATTTTGAACATCTTAAAATGCCAATGGCGGTTTTAGGCCTATATATTTACTGCATGCGACAAAAAGGGGTGGGACAAAGTTGAAGAAGAAGAAGAAGTGAGATTTTGGAGAAATACAGAGAAGTTAAAAAATTAGAATTGCAGAAAAAATGGTTAAAGATACAACCATTGGTTCAAGGAAATATATTTCGGAACAAATTCAAAATTTAAATGTAAGCTGTTCTATGTTAGTTAATATATTTTTATGTGTATTTTAATTATGGTTTAATTTTTAATAAATAAAATATAACATTAGTAATATATAGTAGTTGGTTTTTTTTTTAAGTAAAAAGTTAATTTGGATTTTTTATAATAATTTATATTATAGTAATTAAAATTAAAAAATGCTGAATTTGTGTTGAAAAAAGACTAAAATAAAAAGCTCGTAAGTTTTATCTTGAAATGTGTTATCATTAATGTATCATGTTAATTTAAAATTGATTATATATTATGTGAAGCACATTGTAATTTTGTTGTACGTATTTTTATCAATTATATTATTATAATGAAATTTGATTTTATAATTTTTTAAATATTTATTAGGATTTATGTAATATAGATAATTGTTTTAGTAATAATGGTATTTTTTAATTATTTATAACATGTAATGAGAATGTTACGCTCTCGTCACTTGTCAATAACGCCTTTAAAGATTGAAATTATGGAAATATTACGACATGGTGGATTTAATCAAATTTCTCAACTTTGTGAAATGCAAATAAATGGTTCACTGATAAATACACTGGTAGAACGTTGAAGGTCTGAAACTCACATATTTCACTTAGTATGTGGAAAATGCACAATTACATTAGAGGATATGTACATGTTACTTGGACTTAAGATTAGCGGTGTAGCAGTGATTGGTTCTACAAATCCTTTTACTGTTATTATACAGGATATGTGTGAAAATTTAATAGGAAACCAACCTAATTCAAACGACATTGACGAATCAGAAATTAAATTAAAGTGGCTATCCCAACACCTTGGTTTGCTTCCTTGTAATTCTGACATTAGGTTACAACAACATGCTCGTGGGTATATTCTTTACTTGTTAGGACATGTTCTGATGCTAAATAAAAGTAATTCAGTGGTGCATGGAAAATTCTTATAGTTGTTAACAAATGTGAATGAAATTGGCAATTACAGTTGGGGATCAGCATGCTTGGTCTTTCTTTTTAGAGGCTTAGATTGAGCTTCTAGACATGATACTAAAGAAATTTGTGGCTGCTTGATACTTTTGCAGGTGTGGGCATGGCATTGCTTCCATGGCTTGCTCTAATCCCGGGAAAACTACTAATATTTTCACTTGCTCTTAGATGGAGACGATTGCGATATCCAGCAAAAACTCTGTTTAAGAATCTTTAGAATATTAGATTAGAATTGGATCAAATGGATCTTAATGAGGTAAAGAGTTTTACAAAATGTTATTAAGATGTTACATCATGAAACCCTTTGTTAATGAGGTGATAACATTAACTTATATGTTTATTGCAGTTTTTGTGGAGACCATATGTGGATGATGAAATTCATGCAGTAACTCCAGATGAACTGATGCATGAACAACAAGTGTGGTCAACTGTTAGTCCTCTTATATGTTTT